TACTGTATAGCACAGGGAACTATATTCAATATCCTATGATAAACCATAATGAAAAAGAATATAAAAAGAAGAATGTCGGGCTTCCCTGGTGGCGCAGTGGTTGAGAGTCCGCCTGCCGATGCAGGGGACACAGGTTCGTGCCCCGGTCCGGGAAGATCCCACATGCCACGGAGCGGCTCAAAAAAAAAAAAAAAAAAGAAAAAAAAAAATGAAGAATGTCTGTATGGGTATAACTGAGTCACTCTGTTGTACAGCAGAGATGGGCACAACACTGTAAATCAACTAACAATTTTAAATAAAAGGCGCCTGAGGAAAAACACTTCTTTTTGATTCAAATGGGATGGTTCGGGGGAAATTTCCATGACATGAAAAGATGGGGTTTGAGAGATTTTTATGATGACAGAAATAATAATGATGATGATAATGATAAAATAATCATCATGGCTCTGAGAACAAAGGCATTAAATACATATTAATAATCAGAAGAGGTGGTTCAGAGTAAATGAGTACCTCAAAAAGCATTACAATGGGCAAACTGAATTTGGTCCCAGTGAGAGCCTTTGCTGTTCTGCTGAAAGAAATTAAGCCCTAGCATTCCTCTCTCAGAGGACACAGGGGAACTATTCCATGGAGAGTTGTGTTAAAGGCTGCCGGGGAGGACTGCCGACCCACACAGGGCCAGCCAGGAAGGGGGTCATTCACGTCATGTGGGTGAACACACGTGGCCCAAGAGGCCATTTTATTTACAGCTCCTTCCTGCTGGATCAGGCCCATTTGTCTTTATCTCTCAAATCTATGTGTCGTTCCCATCTGCCACTGCTAACATGGAGTGCTCTAAACAAATGTGCTCTTAGGGCTGTAACTCCTTAATATAAAGTGCATTTAATAAAACTGGTAGTGACTCTAAAAAGAAAGGAGGAAGGCAGACTCGGAGAAAATGGCTGGAGGAAATTTGCAGTTAATATTTTACAAGACATTTGGATTCTGATTCCTCCTTGCTGTTAAAATTTAAGAGCTTTTTCAAACCTGTATTCCTCTCTGTTACTACATCCTTAATTAAATTAATTTATACGGTGAATGCTCTAACGATACTGTTGGAGATTTTCAATCAAAGAGCCTTATTGCTAGAGACAATGTGTGTGAAGACCTTGAAAAAAGAATGGCATAAGGCCTAGCGCTGTCACTGGCACAGGGCTATTTGGCCCTGACATCTGATTACTGAAGAGATCGTGGTAGTTTTCCTGTGCCTCCGCTGAGGTCGTTATTTTATTTTTTAATTAAGCTAAATTAGGTCAGTGAAAACAAAATGAATCTTGCAAGTTGCCTTCACAAGGGTTTTCTCTCTCAGAAACACAATGGCAGACGATGATGTTTCTACTGAATAATTCTACCAGTGAGGCTGTGCCTGCCTGAAACCCTAAACAAAGGAAGCTATCTCTTAGCCTGATGGGCTACGTCGTCAAAGGACAGGCAATCAAGATATGTCCAAGAACGCAAATGGCTCAGCTGTGGAGAAAGTCTAACAAGTTGGTACCAAGGCCAATGGTTCAACAAGCTCTGCCTTCTGTGCAGACATGGTCACAGACTCACTAGGGATCTCAAGGGCGCGTGTGTGACTGTATAGCTTTGTTGCCTGGCACACAGCAGGCACCCGATTATCGTGAGTGATTTGTTAACCTAATGAAATGTCAGTAATAAATTAGGCAGTGTGCCTAAGATTTGATCTGTTGCGTATGTGTCAAACCACGATTTGTAGAGCAGAGCATGATCAAACCAGGGGAAGGACCTCCCCACCCTCCGAAGCTCATTTCTTGCTCCCTGTGTTGAGCTCCTGAATTTTCCCCCTTAATTTCTAATAGTGTATTTCTAGGATTTATGTTGAGCATTTCAGAGGATGTAAGACCCAGCGTCTTTCTCAGTCACATGGTAAGAGACAGGCTTGAGAAATGTGTCCTTAATGCCTCTGCACTGCTAAGTAAGGCCCAGATGCTTTGCCCTATACCTCACCACAAAAAGGGTCTCTATAATCCATACGTGACGTGGGAGGAAGGGTGCCTTTATATAAAAATCTGAGAGCAGACACATCCAACTGCATAAATGAACATCCCATCAGGTTTTCTTCCTCTCCCATACTAACCAAGTTCTTTGTTTCTCTCAAGAATGATAGTCTCTCAACATTCACCAAGTTTGGTTGCGTGATGAAAAGTTCCATTATGACAAAACACATCAACTGCAAAAGAAAATTAAATAGGGAAAAAAACCTCCAACCAAACACCCAGCACTATTTGATCTTGTTTTAAACAGAAAGTCGTGGACACTTTAGAAAAAAAAAGGCAGCAAGTGCATTTTTAATGGATTTTATCCACAGGAGAAATGATTACAACCAGAAAAGCTTTAAAGTGTCAGCTGGTGATGCATTTTTCTTTACCCCTTTTATTTTTATTCAGAAAGAAACTGAAGGCATATGGCAAAGTGCATCATTAATTTCTTATTAATTTCATAATACGAAGGCAACCAGTTAAAATAGTAGTGTTACAACTTTAAATTACCGAACTCGCTTGGTATTTAATGAGAGAGTTAGCACAGCAGGGATTCTGTTAAATTAAGTTGTTCCTTCACATCACAGTGGGAAAACAGGTGTATATTGGTTTAGAATTATGGAAATGTTGACTAATTCCAAAGCTTGTAATCAAACAGAAAGGCACCCTGTAATATTTTTTTTCCCCAAGAATATGCATTAATCTTTTATCTGGTCCCTTTGCTTCCTGCCCACCAAAGCACCCAGCTGATAGGAAACCACTTTCATGTTCTTCCTGGAGCTGTTAAGGGTGATGCTGATCAGATAAAGCAATACATAAATGCAAGATGTGGAACTCTGTTCCCAGGCACCTAATTTGAAATGGCAGATGTAGCAATGCCGTGCGCACTGTGAAGGCTAGGAGCTTACAAATCAGACCTGACTTCTCAAAATTTTCATTTAACCCACCTCAAGTAACTGGGCATAGGAAATTGAACTGGATAAAAAGAAAGCCGAAAACAATCCACGAACCATCTTTTCCAAGCCCAGATTTCTTGTCCTTAATCATATGGGTTTTTCCAAAATCACCAGCCCTGACTTCTGCATGCAGAATGTTTAAGGCGGAAAGGAGACATATGGGCAACATTTTTTTTTTTTTTTTTAAATACACAAGATGCTATTTGTTTGCTGAGAAAAGGGTCAGAGTAAGATGTCCCAAACGGGAGCAAACTCATCAGTCATTTGTAGGTTTTTCAACATGGCCCATTCATCAGATTACTTCTGGGTTTCTAGGGAGCATCTTCACGTATGAATACTGCATGTTAAGAGCTATGTCCCTCTCCTAGTGGAGGTGATGAACTCAAATTAACCAAACTCTGCATTAATTTAAAATAGGATGTGATGTGCCTCTATACACCCTAAATACTAAGTAACAATTTATCATCAAGTAATTTTTTTAAACATACCTAGAAGGGATTTTGTACACTAATTACTGTAAAGTATTTCTTTCTAAAAGAAGGAATACCAAGTGGGTTTTGGGGTGGATTAGGAGCCTGGGAAATAAAAAAAAATTTTTTTCTACCATTGCCAGTAATTGTTTAACTTGGTTGCTTCGTTCAATACTGTAACCTAACGCTGCAACCTCCTAGAATTTACGTTGGAAAAATTCCATTTATACAGAGAATGAAGCTGAAATGATACTTAAAAAATCATTAGGCAAAGCAATTAGACCCAGTAAAATCTCCGTTACTAAAAACCACCTTAGAAGTTTCAGCGAGAAGTACTTATATTGAATTGCGAGGGAGAATTCTGGCATCACATTTGCTTTTCTGAACCACTGTCTCTCTGATTTGCTCACACAAAAAGGGGAAAACCAAAGTGCTGTGATTTGAGACCAAGGTTCATAACTTATTACTTTTTTGTTATTACGAAGCTAGCGTTTTGAAAACCTTCTACTGTCTTGTCACTAAAATTTTCAATGGCGCTAAGGTGAATCAAACAAATGCTACCTTTTCTGGGGGTGACAGGGTATCAAATGACTTGTGTACACAGGTTAGCACGACAGATGAATGATAAAAAGTTAGAATTATACGCTGAAAACATTAGGGACATCACGTTATCTTTCTTTTGCTATTATCAAACCAGGTTTCAATAAAATCATCAACATAGCACTGATTACCAGAGGTTCTTCACTATCACCTACGCAAATCATTATGCTATTAAACTAACTCATCCCTGATATTTGAGTCAACAGGGAAGATATCCCGACAGCACAGAGAAATTTATACCAGCATACGCTAGATAAAACTGTCACAGCCCCCCAGAAATCACATATTCTGATGAAGCAGCTATAGCCCACATCAGTTCATTTCTAGTGAATGGTACCAAGCATCCAAAATTACTGGGAAGGAAATGGAAAAAAACTGTAAGCTTTGTATTTTCTGTTCTCTATCGACATGAAGCCGCAAATTGGGCATTAAAACATTGACTTTGTTAACCACCATTGACGGTTTAGAAACCATTAGGAGGTTGAATATTATGGCTGTGCAGGGTACATTTTTGTCCTTTCAAAAGAAAAATCTAAGGACTAAATTTGAAAAGAGGCTCCTGGTGAGTAAAAGCTTTTCCTTTTCCATTTGCTCCTCTTGTGCGTGTGTGTGTGTGTGTGGAGTTTCCCCCCGATTTGAAATTGCAGCCCACCCAGTCCTCTTTTCAGCCACTGCGAGCCAGTGGGGTCACTCTGATTTTCTAACCAGGGGACATACTCTCTGAGAGGTCTTTCTGTCAGCGGTAATGCCAGCGTTTCTTGAGGGGCTGGCCAGCTGCTCTGGCTGCTGCAGGGGGGATGGGAGGTGGGGTCAGCACGCCCTCCTCAAAAGCCCAAAGTCATTTTTGGCACTAAGAGCCCATCACTAGAACCTTCAGTTGAAAGGACCATTTTCAAGCAATAAAGTGATTTTGGTACAAAAGTAAACCGACTCACCCCAGGTAAAGTTTTAATATTGTGCAGTGCATTCTGGGCCTCAAGTGCAGCTTTTCTTGTATAAAATGTTACGAAACAACAACCTACAGAGAGAAATGAAAAGGTTTTAGAAATTTCTGTGAATGCTTTGCTTCGATATAATGGAGACTGGGGCGAACGAGTCATCTACTTAAAAGGATGCACAATTTAAAAATAAAGTGCACGGGAACAGTAATAACAGCTCAAGCGTTTACACAGCGCCTTTCATCCTAAATCATATTTATTAGCTTTTCCCCACTTTGGGGAGTCAATTTCGAACTGTGCACCAGCTACGGGGAATCCAGCTGCTGAGGAACGAGGGCGGGAGGTGGCGGGTGGGTTGATAGCGGGACTGGCGGTGCACCCACGGCACCCAGCGAAGTGCTTAATCACAAGCACAATGGCAAAAACTTACATCGACTATCATTTTCTTAAAGAATATCTCTAGAACGTCACCCTTTTAAAACACTTTCTCAACTCCAAGGTTTAGACAGCTGGATGATAAGCTCCCCAGGAGCTGGGATTGTGCTTTATTCTTTTTAATTTCCACCATAGTACACAATGCAAAATTCCATACATGAAACCATGCAATGTTTGTTCGCTGAAATGAAAGACTCTATTTTAACCAATTGAGAAAGTAAGCTATGATGCAGTGGGCATATGCTGAAACATGTTTGCAGACTCTGTCCCGTATACTAAATACGGCTGTGGTATGTCAACTGGTAACCTCCTGACTCCTCGTTTCTCAGAGCTGATCGGAGTCCAGGCTGAAGGCCCCTCCAAGAGAGACCGGCATATACCCTCTTCCCACCCAACTCCCTCCACCAAAGAAAATGGTCTTGAAAACTGTTTACATTCCTTCTGCATTCTAAAGGATGGCTGACCCCTTCTTCAACCTGTATCTAAATACATTGGCTAACATATGTGGTTAAACCAGAGGAAGATACCGGTTAATTATCTATTAATTAACATATTGCTTCTTAGCACAATCAGGCTTAGAAAAAAGGGAAATAAACTTAGGAAATTAAAAAAAAAAGATGCTGCCTCTGACCTGGGCTGCCTTGGATGAGTTGGGTTGAAAAAAAATAAAAGCAGAGAGATGCAGTCACCCAGATTGTACGTACTTCACCCTGGTCCTTATCCTAATGCTTGGAGAGATGGAGAGAGCCTTGAGAGGTCCTCAAACGCCAAGTACAGCAAGTGGCATGAGAGAAATTCACAGCACTAAGGCATCAACATTGGCTCTATTTAGGGGAATGACGTAAGTGAGACCAAGAACAGAAGAAACGTGGCACAGCTGGAGAGCAGGAAGTTGGCACCACAAACCATCAAAGGTTCAAAATCATACACTGGCATCTACTTTTCAAAACAAAACTCATTCAAAGGAAGAAAATAAAGTACAATACCATCCATACAACATTCCAAAATGCATATGCTTCCTCCTTATCTGGAAAAAGGAAACTTGGACCCTTGTTGCCAAATACTTGGTTTCACTGGAGTCTACTGAGATTAAATATGTAAGACCTCCACCTCCTGGACAAAGGAGTATGATCATAGCTCCTCGGCATTTAAAAAACTCCATGCCTCCAAGGATCAGAAACTCTTAGAGTCTATCATTTGCATGAAGGAGGGATACGAAAATTATGAAGTGTCTTTAAAGAATCACAGATAGAGTGTTCCTTTTTATATGAGCTTCCCACTTCAGCTCTTTGAGTTCTTTGACCAGAGTTCATTTGGCCATGCTGCCAGGTGGTAGATTTTTTTCCTGAACTGATCAAATTAATGTGTGATTTCCAGCTTCAATGGCATAACCTAAGCCCAGAAAAGCTATAGGAATTGCTTCACATCAAGGAATGATTTTAAACAGCAGAGTCAAGTCCCAGCTTCCAGTATCCATCGTAATCACTTTAAGAGGAAGAAAAATTATATTCCCCTAGGCTTGATGCAGAAAGAACAGGGAAAGAAAACCATGATGCAAAAGAATATTTAAAAAGAGAATGTATAACTGAATCACTCTGCTGTACAGAAGAAATTAATACAACATTGTAAATCAACTCCACTTCAGTAAAATTAAAAAGAAAAGAAAAACAGGGAAAGACATCATCTCTGTCTTCCAAAAGCTTCTAACAACCAGACTCTGAGTAAGTTCTCCTTTCTCTCCCCTTGGCTTCTGGGGTGGGCTTCTGGGTAAGAAAAGCAATGAGGACGCTCTCAACTTCAATATCGAAGCTACAAAATCTGATGCTTTCAAGCAGGTAGATTTTGAGGGTGTGATACTTAGAAAAGCAACAGAAGATTTCGGATGCAGTAGAAGTCATAAGGCAGTTTGCATGCCTGGAAAGAAGGCAATTAAGGAAGAATGATCTCAGCAGAAGGAAAACAAATGCCAGTCTGGCCAAGCTCAGAGCGAAGAAGGAAAAGTTGAGGTCGGCCTAAAAGAACAGTGTAATGACAAGGGGAACGGAAACTGTGAATGACACATGGTAAGATAAAAGCAACGAAGAATAAAGATGATGTAAACTGAAGGAATCTTGTTGTTGGGCCACTGTGGACCCAACACATAGTGGTCTCAGGAATAAAAAAATCCCTTCCTGCCTTAAACACCCAAACAAAATCCCTACCACTTCCCACGGCCTGAAATTCCACTGGGAAGGTGCAGTTCATTTGCTGTTTAAGTATTAAAATGCTACCCTTGAGGAAGGTAATATGTAATTGTTCCTAGCTATCTACACCTTGAATTTGGCAACTTCAAGTGTTTCCCTTTTGAACAAGGCTCCTAGTGAACACAAGGTGGTTTCTGTGTTTGTTTTGTTTTGCTTTGAGAAAGGGCAAGTTTGAAGCTGATGTCTGAGCAGCGTGGGATGGGGGTGAAGAGGGGCAAGAATGCAGAGAGGAGTCTTAATGGACAGAAGGGAGATGGAAAGATATTCCAAATCTCAAACTCTTTCCAATTTCTTCCAGGGTCCACTCTGCCTATGCAACTGACGAGGTAAAATCAGGGATTTGTCACTACAGATCCTCTTTGAACTGTGCATAGCTTCGAACTCTTTTACTCTAGTCCCATCTAAACAAAGACCTTGGAAGAACATGCCCCTTGAAGCTCCAGTTCTAGCTGTAATACATAGAAGAGTATCCTGGACACCACTGGTGATACACCTAACCCCTCACTGCTCACCGACCCCTAACCCAAAAGCTCAGCTCCATAGGCACCATGCTTGGCAAGTAAACTTGGGACCTTTGAAGGAGGTATCCCATCTCCAGGTGGGCAGAGCCCCAAGGCTCAGTGAGTAGAGCTCGGGCTGAATTTCTGCCCCAACTTGTAGCCTCAGCTGGGCACCATCATGCAATGAACCACTCGCACCAACACGGGGGATCTGGGGGACTCTCACCCCAAGACTTCTTTTGGTTTCCCACATTTGGTTCCTGAATGACTCAGTGGAAAATACCTTACTTCCTCTATACCTGAGTTACTTTAGCTGCATCACCCCTAAAGCAGTGAATAAAAACCAGGTCTGGGGACTTCCTTGGTGGCGCACTGGTTAAGAATCTGCCTGCCAATGCAGGGGACACGGGTTGGAGCACTGGTCCAGTAAGATCCCACATGCCGTGGAGCAGCTAAGCCCACGTGTCACAACTACTGAGCCTGCTCTCTAGAGCCCACGAGCCACAACTACTGAGCCCTCGTGCCACAACTACTGAAGCCCGCGTGCCTAGAGCCCGTGCTCTGCAACAAGAGAAGCCACCACAATGAGAAGCACACGCACTGCAATGAAGAGTAGCCCCCGCTCCTACTTGCCTCAACTAGAGAAAGCCTGTGTGCAGCAACAAAGGTGCAGTGCAGCCAAAAATAAATAAATAAAATAAATTTATTTAAAAAACACACACACAAAAACCCCCAGGGCTGCCTACCACTCCCTCCCCCTGAAAAAAAAAAAAAAAACTACGTGGATATATATAGCCAAAAGGTTTCATTCAGAATAAATTTTTTTTTTTAAACAGTCAAAATTATTCCTGGGCTTCCCTGGTGGCGCAGTGGCTGACAGTCCACCTGCCGATGCAGGGGACATGGGTTCATGCCCCAGTCCGGGAAGATCCCACATGCCGCGGAGCGGCAGGGCCTGTGAGCCATGGCCGCTGAGCCTGCGCGTCCGGAGCCTGCGCTCTGCAACGGGAGAGGCCACAGCGGGGAGAGGCCGCGTACCACAAAAAAAAAAATTCCTTCCCTTTCTTGGCTAAAAATGTCTTGCACTTCATTTAGCACGCATACTAATTGACTTAATAAAAGTAATGTTTCATTAAGTTATCAGAAAATCTGCGGTAGAAATACTCCCAATTTCAACATTCATCTTAGAATCAGCCATTTATGTTTTTCCCCTGATGGGACATGAGTCTGGACACTTCCAGAGTAAGAATGTGTTTCACAGACTCTTGCTTCTATGAGTACTCTCCCAGCTAAACAACCACAGGCTTTTTTAGTAGTCAATCACTTGATATACTCACTTAAAATCTTAGACCTCACACCAGAGGGCCCACATCACAAAGGGGATGAGAACCAGGCAGGAGTGAAAAAAAATAAAAATAAAAGAATAAATAAAAAAAATAAAATCTTAGACTCATTGACTTGCGGAGATCATTTCAACACAGGAAGGGAGAAATATCATTAATGTTTGCCCTGAGATGGTGCTCATCATGGCAAAAGGCCAGGGAGCGACTCTAGATTCTAGAAAACCCGTGGAGGTGCAACAGGGTTGGAATTTTCTTTCCTGCCTACCCTAACTGGATGGACAGCTGTTAAGGGAACCACCTGGCTTTTAGATTTCCCTGCACCAGCTGTAACTCAGGTCTGAAATTTACCAGATTTGTTTGCAGGTCAGCTGCAACACCAGATGGCCCAGCAGTCTGATTCGGGGAACAGACCTCCCTCCTCCAACCAGGCTCTGCTTCCAACATCATGGTAAGGTGGGTGGTTAAACGCCGACAACAGCCCCGGGCACTCTTCAATGGTCAGCGGCTGTGACGTGCACCCGAGGTGACCACCCCTCCGGTGTCAGCATCGCTCCCAGAA